TGCAATGGGACACATTGGTACGCATGCCATGGTGGTCAGCATGCCATGGTGGTCAGCATGCATCCACATGGTCAATCTGGGGTAAGAAGCCCAGCCTAAAGACTCTCTCAGCCGCATCAGGCCACATCTGCCAACAGCTCCCATGGGAGCTGCCCTCTGCCCTCTGCTGCTTCCTGCATTGGCATGGGTTCCTGGGGCCTGGCTCCTCTGCCATTCCAGATTACCCATTCCCCTGTTGGGTGCTCAGGATGATGAAAAAGCTCTGGAAATGGATAGTTGTGGTGGTTACAAAACATTGTGAGTATAATCAGTATCTCTGAATTGCACAATACAGATTGATTAAAATAATAAATCTTTTTGTGTTTATTCTCATCACTATAAATTATCAGTTCAAAACCAAATTATATGTAAGAAGATGTACTTATACAAATATCCTTCTTGTCCTGGTATGTGGTACCCTATTCTAACTCATCGTCATCAGTAAAACTTGACAATTTTTAAAATTATTTTTCTTATAAATTCCACATATAAATGAGATCATATAGCATTTGTCTTTCTCTGTAGGGCTTATTCCTCCTAGGGTAATATCTGGCAGGTTTGTCCATGTTGTCACAGATGGAAGAACTTCCTTCTGGAAAGACAAAGGGCTGGACTTCTTTGTGCACAGATAGGGGACCTCCTGCCCTGTCGCCCCACAGCCTCCCTGCTGCTTGGATCACTGATGAGCCCTGATGTCACAGGAGAAGAGAGGAGGACAGAGTCAGGGCCTGGGAGTTCAGGAAACCAGCCACAGGGGTACCCAAAGTCCCTGATGGTGTCCGTTTTGGTAAATTCACATCTGTGGGATCTACTTCCCACCTTCCCAAGAGCAGACCCAGCATTTTGTAGCAATAAAGGAGCGCTGCATGTTACCTTCACAAGCACTACTGAGAGTTTTGCTGACACCTAAAGTTTCTCCCCTGGCTAATCACCGTCCCCTGACATCACAATTTCAGGGGCAAGTAGCTAGCCTGGTTGCCCAGTCAGCTCTGTGCCTGCTATTTCTTCCGTTCTGAGTCCTCCCTCGGCACCAATCTTATTTAGTACATCCTACCTGGAACACACAGCTATTCAGCCAGCTCTGAGCACAGGAACCTGGAGGGAAGGGAGCCTCTGCCCCAACCCCTGGAGGAACAGAGTCCACATTGTGGAGGACTGTCCACCTGTTGCGATGGTCCAGACTCTGATGAGAAAACTAAGACAGTGGATGTGCCTTTGTTAAAGAGAAAAAGGGCCAGCTCAACACTCTCTGAGTTTTACACTTTAACCACCAGACAAAATGTCTGCATTGTTGTGGGTTTCTTTGATGCCTGTTTGTTTGTTGGCTTGTTTGTTTTCCTGACAGTACAAAGAAGTTGAATAGGACACTGGGAGGAGGAAGGGTATCATGACCTAGAAGCTACTTCCAAAGACAGTCAGTGTGCATTTAAGTTATTTTCAACTGGAAGAGAGTCAGAGTGCAGGGTTCTGAGCAGGGTGAGGTATTTGTCCACTTCCCCATGTGTCTGTGTCACTGTGACAAGCACTACTGGGCCAGATTGCACAGTAATAGTCAGCCTCATCCTCAGGCTGCAGCCCAGAGATGAGCAGGAGCCCTGCATTTGCCGAGGCATCTTTGGATCCGGAGAAGCAGGTGGGGACCCCAGGTCCCAACTGTGTACTGGAGTCTGAGTAGTAGTACAGGAGATACCGGGGAGGGCTCCCTGGATTCTGTTGGTACCAGTATATGTAGTAGCCTCCAACATTGATGTCCCTGCTCAGGGTGCAGGTGAGTCTGGCTGTGGCTCCCAGAGATGCAGAGAGGGAGGCTGGCTGAGTCACGACAGGCTGGGACAGGGAACCTGCAAACACAGACACAGCAGAGGGAAGACATGAGACAGGGTACATGAGATTAGGGAGCTGAGCCACAGGGATTTGACTCTGGCTGCGGGCCCACCCTGGTGCCCTGGACCCTATCCCTACCTGCGCAGTGACAGAGGAGCACGAGGAGGACGGGGATCCAGGCCATGGTGACACACCCCCTTCTTAGGCCACAGAGCTGGGGCTGGACTGCCCCTGGCCTGTCTTATCCCCTGTCCCCAGGGTCACAGAGGAGGCGCTGCTCATGCAAATGAGACCCACACCTGCCTCTTCTCCATGTGCACACACAGGTTCTGTGGCCCTTGGACTGGAGACTTCCTGATGCACTGCGTTCCCCCTGGGTGGGCCTGGAAGCAGCAGCTGTGGGGACCACACACAGCCCCAGGTCCAGGGACTCTTCCAGGTCCTGACCGGACACACCTGCCCTGGCCCCACTGGACGCAAGGGGCCCAGTCCTTGCTTTCTGTCAGTGGAGGACTGCCCAGCTGGATGCCCCTGTCCTGCAGAAAGCCCCAGACACAGTGTCACAGTGCCCCCTGCTGGTCCCTGGGTGAACCTCTCCTTTCCCACCTCTGGCTTCCATGATGCCTGTGTTTCCATAACCTGAGAATGACCCTCCTTGGAAAGAGAAAGGTCCTGCTGTGATGTCACTGATCAGGTTTCCCCTGTGAAGGGGGGGGGGGGGG